GTTCAATGCAGTCCCCATCAAAATTCCAATGACATTCATCACAGAGATTAAAAAATCAACCATAAGGTTCATGTGGAAGCACAAAAGACTGTGAGTAGCCAAGGCAATACTAAGAAAAAAAACAATGCTGAAGACATCACAAAACCCAATTTCTAGCTATACTACAGAGCCAAAGCAATAAAAGCAGCATGGTTCTGGTACAAAAGCAGGCATGAAGACCTGTGGAACAGAATAGAAGTCCCAGATATGAATCTACACAGCTACGCCCACCTGATTTTTGACAAAGGTACCAAAACATAGGATGTCCCACATGTTGCTGGGAAAACCGGGTATCCACATGCAGAAAGCTGCAACTAGGTATTTCACCCTGTACAAGTATCAACTCAGAGTGGATTAAAGACCTTAATATAAGACCTGAAACTTTGAAGGAAACTAGTGCAGGAAAGAGCAGGGAATACACTGGAATTAATAGGCACAGGCAGTGATTTCCTAAATAGAACTCAAATGGCTCAGCAACTAAGAAAAAGGGTTGACAAACAGGATTACATGAAATTAAAAAGCTGATGCACAACAAATAAAAAATGGTCACCAGATTGAAGAGGCAGCCCACAGAATGGGAGAAAATCTTTGCCAGCTATACATCTAACAAGGAATTAATAATCAGAATATACAGGGAGCTCAAAAAACTAAACTCCCCCAAAATCAATGATCCAATGAAGAAAAGGACAAATGAACTGATCTTTTTCAAAGGAAGAAGTCCAAATGGCCAAGAAAAAAATTAAGAAATGTTCAATATCCCTGGCCATAAAGAAAATGCAAATCAAAACCACATTAAGATTCCACCTCACTCCTGTTAGAATAGCTATCATCAAAAACACCACCAACAACAAATGTTGGCCTGGATGTGGGGGAAAAGGAACCTTCATACACTGCTGATGGGAATGTAAATTAGCACAATCACTATGGAAAACAGTATGGAGGCTCCTCAAAAAACTAAAAATAGAACTGCCATATGATCCAGCAATACCATTCCTAGGGATATACTTGAATGAATGTCAGTAAGTCAGGCTACAATAAAGGCACCTGCACACCCCACCCATGTTTATTGCGGCACTATTCGCAATAGCCAAGTTATGGAAACAGCCAAGATGCCCCACTACTGATGAATGGATTAAGAAAATGTGGTATTTATACACAATGGAATTTTACTCAGCCATAAACAAGAATGAAATTTTGTCGTTTGCAGGTAAATGCATGGAACTGGAGAACATCATCTTAAGTGACGTCAGCCAGGCTCAGAAGACCAAAGGCCGCATGTTCTCTCATATGTGGAAGCTAGGCCCAACACAAATACCAGCATTACTATGAAAAACAGATCATGCTAAGGGAGGTCACTAACAGGAGAGAGAGGGTAAAAGAAGGAAGTTAACAAGATGAATATAGTTGATGTACTTCCTATGCAAGAATGAGTACAGAATTTTTAAACCCACTGATATCACCATAAGAGGACTAAGGTAGAAAGAGGAAAAATAGAGAGGACGAACCAATTCGGGTTTAATACATATACACATGGAAATGTCACAATGAAACACCCTGTATCACTATCTTAAGCAAACAAAAATGTCATTCTTTTTACAAAAATGGAGAACAGGGAGGCAAAACAGGTCCTATCTGGAGGTTAGTACCAGGGCGAGAGGGGAGGATATAAGGAAAGGCTGTAGGAGGACGAGTATAGTGGAAATATTATGTATACATGTGTGTAAATGGAAAAATGAAATCTGCTGAAACTATTCCAGAAATGGGGGAAGCAGGGATAACGGAGAATGATGCAAGGGCTGAATTCAACTTTGATATATTGTGAGAAGTTTAGTAAATGTCACCGTGTACCCCCAGTACAACAATTAAAAAAAAAAGTGGTGGGCACTTGATGGAGAGTTTGCTAGTGTCACAATGATCCTCAATCCTCGGTACGTGCCAGGAAGGTGAGCTGATCTCAGAAAGTATAGATTCTACAGCTCCAAAATCCTTGATGCAGCTGTCACTATACCAAAAACAATGGCTTTGTCTGCCATCTATTGGTCATTTTTTTAAAAGACAACCATCTTTATGCCAGCAGAGATGTTATACCACCTATTTCTGTTCATAAGTACCTCATGGCTTGCCAAGCATCTTCAGCTTACACTTTCCAAGGGATGCCCTGAAAATCTCCTCTGAGGTGATAACAAAAGCAAAGGCCTGAGTCTCTAGGGATCATAAGTCTAAACTTGTGCCTGTTAGAAGACCTGATCTCTGTTGGCCTCAGGCCATGTCACTTCTCCCACTTCACCCTATTTTCTCATCAATGAGTAACACTGGCTGGTCCCTGCTAAATCTAGAAATCTGAGGTTTAGTCTCTTGTGTTTGATTGAACAAACATTATCTACCTATACTTCATTTAACAATGAAATCAAACATAATTTATAACATTATAATACAATATCCATAGGCCCTCTAATCACATTTTGCCTCTTTCAATCCTGCTACTGATAATTTGTCTACTTTCTGTTTTATCATGCAAGCTCAAATTTTAGTTACTTGACCTTTTCAAAAAATAAGTATTTTTATGTTGATTGCCTCATTTGGCTGTATGTTTTCTAACTTACTGAATTCCACTCTTATTTTTATTATTTCCATCTTCTTAAGGGTCATATGTAGATCACTGACTACAGGCATTTCTTTCGGTGGGGGAGGCACTAGGGTTTGAGCTCAGGGCCTCATGCTTGCTAGGCAGGCGCTGCACCACTTGAGCCACTCTGCAGTCCCATTTCTTTATATAAGCACATAATACTATCAATTTCCCATGAGCACTACTTTGCATCCTCCATATTTTATCTGTTGTGTTTTCATTTTCATACAGTTAAATAAATGTTCTAAATGTCCCTTGGGATTTATTATTTGATCCATGTGTCAATGTGAAACGTATTGATGTGTATTTACTTCATTCCCAATACTGGGAGAATTCTGAGATATGTTTCCATAATAATTTCTATTTTCATTCTGTTTTAGGTACAGAACTTCCTCTGTATGATCTAGCTTTTAAAAAATGTATTAATACTTCTTTTGTGGTCCATGGTGTAGTCTACGTTATGTATGTTCCACATGAACTTGGAAAACATGTATACTCTGCTAACAATTTTCATAAATGTCAATTAAATAAACTTGGCTAACAGTTACATCTTCCATATCCTTACTTGGTTGCTGCCTACCCTTTCTGCCAACTACTGAGCATGGAGTGCTGAACTCTCCAACTATCATTATGGGTTTGTCGATTTCTCCTGAGTTTTGTCAATTTGAGAGTAATGTACTTCCAAGTTTTGTCTTTAAATAGATACCTACTCAGAACTGTTATGTCTTCTGGATGAGAGCATCTTGACCTCTGTATCATCGTGACAGGCCTTTATGGAAGTCTGTTTTCTCTGACGGTAATACAGGCAATCCTATGCACTCGATGCACTCCGGGTCAGGCAAATCCTCAGACCCACAGGGTCTATAATGCCCTCATTGTTTCACAGCTAGGGCACTTGGGGGAAGGCGTCCAAGGAACCCCACACCTTCTTCCAAATGCCCGCCCAGAAGAGGGGCCGCAGGGCCAGCACCAGGTGAGGTCCCCTGCCCTTCTCGGATGCTCCGGCCCCGCCCTGCAGGCGCGGGAACCCTGCGGGTGATGGAGCTGCGCGCTCCAATCCGCCCATCCTATGGGGCTCTGGGCACGGGTTTGGAGAGCGAAAAAGAGAGAGGCAAAGACCTAGACCTTGAGAGACAGAGAGACTGAGAGACCGAGAGACTCCGGGAGTCAGTCAGGAGGAGTCGTACAGAGAGAGACCCAGACAAGAGAGACATTTAGCCCGGAGCAGGTGCGTGCGCACCCGCGCTCGCCCTCACTTTAAAACTGTCAGCGTGAAGCGCCTTCTCCCGGCCGCCTAGGCCCCAGGCAGCCTTCGGGGCGGGATCCCAGCGCTTCCTCGGGATGCGAAGATCGGGTTCCGCCACTGCGTTCCTCTTTCTAAGCTAGCGTAGACCCTCCAGGGGACGGGTCCCAGATGCGAGTCATGGTGCCCGCCCCTCGTCCAGCCAACCAATGGTGGCGCGCAGAAGCCGGCAAGGCAGAGCCCTCAGCCAATGAGAAGCCTCTGTGGGCTATGCCACACAGCATCCACGGCCGGGATTCCTAATTTGCATGGCTCCGCCCACAAACCCTGTCTACCCAAGTTGGGGTGGCACGGACTTTCGCCTGTCTGGACAAGCCCTAGTCAGCCTGCGCTTTGTTTTATCAACATTTCCAGGTACCACGAAGATATCCGCAAAGGCTCGCGCTTCCCTTTTCCCAGTGACTGCCAAGCCCTTGGGCTGATTAGACACCCACAAGTAATTTCTACTTCCGAGAGGACCGCCTCTTGCTTTAGGACCCAAATCCCATAGGCTGACCAGAGTGCTCGAGGCACTCTGATTGGAAGCGGTGAATGTCCATCAAGCACCACCCTATACGCCACCCTTGCCTCTCTTGGAGGATAAATGAGAGTGTAGTTGCCTCAGTTCTGTTGGAGCAAGTTTGTTGATTTGGCATGCGAACCTATAACGATTTAGGCTGCAAAAGTCTAGAGCGAAGAGAGGAATAGACTGGAACCTTCGGTTAGGTCCAGGCACATGTCAGTCAAGCAATGGGCGGGCGCAAACACCAGCTAACGCGTAGTACTTGTGGAGAAATAACCTAGATCGAGGGGACGAAGGAGACAAAGTACTCTCGATTGGTCCCAAAGGGAGCTAGTCCCGCCCTCCATACTCCGGGATTGGCTAAGCGTGAACCGCGCCCCTTCGTGCCGGCAGCCCTCAGAGAAGTGGGCGGCACTCGCTCTGCTTCGCAGCTCCGGTTCCTTGGAACGGGGTGAAGGGACTGGCTAGATTCCTGCACAGATCCATCGTAGATCGGGAGAGGCGCACGGTATCTCAACGGTGAGGAAACATCAGTAGGCGGCAGGAGTTGGGTGCCATGGAGAGGGTGTAAAACCCCGCAGCCGGAAGTGTCTTCTGGGAGGCGTCTATTCCGGAAGTGTGGCAAATACCTAGCAGAACCCGGAAGTGTGGTGCTGCTGCCGGCCGGAAAGTATTGGTATCCGGCCAATTGGGATTGGGGGTTAAGACAGGTGTTTATGTATCTTTTATCTACAAAGGCGCGGTGGAGCTGTCCTCCACGCAAAGTTGGAGGGTGCTAGCGTTCGGTCATGCTTTGAATGTCTCCTGTTCAAAACCGTGGGGGAAACAAGCACTAGGACTGTGTCCAGGGGGGTTGGCTCTGTAAGGCTTTTAAGAAGTTTCTTTTGCTGCCTGTTACCCTCAATTCCCCTTCCTCCCCAGGGATGTGCAGATGGAGGCCGGAGAAGATACTCCTGCCCCAGCCCCCGGGGCCGCGGAGGACTTGGCGGACACGCAGCTCCCCGGTGAGGAGAGTGGGGTTCACGGGGACCCGCCGGATCTCGGAGACCCCGACCTGGAGGAAACAGGTGTTCCCTCCCCTCACTGGGGTCCCGGAAGGAATTTCCTAGGGGTTGTCATTATTATGCGAGGAGGACAGAGGATTAATGGGGAGTCCTTTGGTACTGAGGGAAGTAGCCCAAACCATAGCTGGGTCAGTAGGAGGTCATAGTGGGCTTACTAGTATAGATTAAATCATTAAGAAATGAAGAAGAGGTCAGTGCGTATCGGTTGTTCACTAGCTGCCAGCCTGACCAAGGTGGTGGATCGTCCTGGCTTGTCCCAGAGATATCTCCATTTTAGTATTGGAATGCTCTCATTCTGAGAAATCGCTCAGTCCTGGGCAAACCAGAATATACTTGGTCTGGTTTAGATCATTGAGGAATAAAAAGGGTGCAGTTGGGGGTTAAAGAGTGTTATTATCGATTAGGGTATTTGGATAAATGATATGGAAAAGAAAGTCGATAGTATCATTAGAGAAACTATTTAGAAGTGTTTGGGGAACTAGGATGTTAAGTCATTGCAATGGGAAAGGGGATCCGTCTTCATGGGGTCATTAAAGAGTCTGTAGAATGATGTTGGGGGGAGTCTTTAAGGAACTAAACGTTAATGGTGATCAGTAGGGGTGGAGAATTATGAGAATATTTAGAGACTCAGAATAAGTAGAGGGAAGGCTTTGAAGTCCCAGACATTATTGGGTACGTCAAGGTTGTCATTTGAGGGATTAATGGAAGTCATTGCAATCATTGTTCATTTATCACTTTGGAATTAGCGGATGATAATAGGATCATAGGGAAGGATCAACAGACATCACTGAGGATAAATTGGGAGTCTTTTAGGACTTGGGAATTACTGGCAGGTAACAGCAGTTACTGACAGGAGGTAGTTGGTTTTTGGAAACATGATGCTGTTGGTGAATGTCACTGAGAAAATATAAGTTCATTGGAGTTTTATGGGGAAGTGACACATAGTTGTAAACGGATAGTAATTACTATCATTGGGTGAGTCAGTAGACATCAATGGGAATACATGAGAGTGTTGGGGCAGGCAGGGGGAGCACTGAAGTTGTGGGTTTTAGTTAATGTCAATCATGATTGTGGAGAAGGGCAGTGGAGGTCATGAAAGCTATGTGTATTAGTGGAGATTAATGGTGGTCACTGATGGAGTGGAGAGAATAGATGTGACGACAGTAAGTTGTGGGCTAGGACAATCCTTGAGGGTTACTAGTGTGGGCTTATTGGGGTGTTGATGTATCTTCGTGGAAGTAAATAGGAAGAGTGATTGGGGGCTAGGGGGACCCCTGAAGATCTGAGTGGCAGGCATTGAGAGAATTAACGAACATCACTGAGAATATAAATAGTTGACCAGGAGAGTTTATAGGGGTCATTAGGGACCAGTGGCCATCAATGAGAATAAAAAAAGGCTAGGGGAGTCAGAGGGTAGAGAGCTCAGCTATAAGTGGATGTTAATGGTGGTCATTGAGGGGCATAGATACCAGGAGAATAAACTGGAGAATCATTTTAGGTGAGGATATCAGTGCTCACTCATAGGTAGTGGGTGCTTTGAAGACTTGGGAGTGGCAGCTGTTGAAAGGGGAATAATTAGTCTGTAGGACCAGTGAATGACAATGACAGCATATTGGGTCATTTGAGTTTTAGGGGGATCATCAGAATCTAAGCATTAGTGAACATCATTTGGGAGGTCCTAGTCATTGGCCCTTGGGAGTCACTGGCCATTGAGTGGCAAGGGAGCTACTCAGAAGTCTTTGTTAGCATGCAGGGGTCATTGGTGGGCTGGTAAGAATTTGGTGGGAGTCCACAGGCTGATGACTCAAAAGGGGCTTCCTTTTAGGATCCAAGGCCAAGGACCAGCCGCCCAGCCTCCTGTCACCACTGCCCCAGCTGGAGGCCCCATCAAGCACCTGTGAGCACTGGAAGACCGCAGCCTCAGACAGTAGCCTCATTCATGTCCCTGAGAGTAGCCCTGGAGGCCAGAGTGGGGACCCAAGTGATGAGGACTGGCGCAGCCAACGGAAGCACGTATTTGTGCTGAGTGAGGCTGGCAAACCCATCTACTCACGGTACGGTAGTGTGGAGGCATTGTCGGCTACCATGGGCGTGATGACAGCCCTTGTGTCCTTCGTGCAGAGTGCAGGAGATGCCATCCGTGCCATCTATGCTGGTGAGTCTTGGTGCAAGGCAGAATGAGGAACAATAACTGGGAATGTGGTTAGTGGGCTGGAGGTCTAATGAGCTGTGGGTACACCTGTCTGTCTGTCTGCCTGCCTGCCTGCCTACCTACCTGAAGCAACGTCCTATCACCAGAGGTGAGTCAATGTGTGTGGACAGCCAGCCAGATGTCTGCCTCTGTGTCTGGAGATTCATCTGTTTGGCCTGCTGGATACAGAGCACCTGACTCACTGGGGTCTTAGTGATGAGCTGAATACTCCCTGGTTACCTGAGAGTGTGACTGTGGGGCCTGAGGCACTGACATTGGTGTCCTGGCTTTGTCTCAGTCTGTGTTCCATCTCACCAGCCCTGCCACCCTAACTTAGTACTGTGTGTTTAACCTACTTGATCCTTTGACAGCCCACCATGGCTCTATAAATGTCCAAATTCCCCCAGCTTGTCCTTGGCCTAGTCCAGGTGCCTGCTGGGCTCAGGCCAGGTGTTGCGTGTGTTGGGGAGGAGGGGGCTGAAGAGCCACTCCTTAGGTCGTTCCTGATGCATTTCTACCCCTGCCCTGCCCCATATCTCCCCCAGAGGACCACAAGCTGGTGTTCGTACAGCAGGGCCCACTGCTGCTAGTGGCCGTGTCCCGGACTCCTCAGTCAGCAGCACAGCTACGGGGGGAGTTGCTAGCTGTGCATGCACAGATCGTGAGCACATTGACACGGGCAAGTGTGGCCCGCATCTTCGCACACAAGCAGAACTATGACCTGCGCCGCCTGCTAGCTGGTTCAGAGCGCACGCTGGACCGGCTTCTGGACAGTGTGGAGCGAGACCCAGGTGCCCTGCTCCTAGGCGCAGTGCGTTGTGTCCCCCTGGCCCGCCCACTGCGAGAAGCACTTGGTGCACTGCTGCGGCGTTGCACAGCACCAGGCCTGGCACTGTCAGTGCTGGCAGTTGACGGTCGGCTAATAACAGCAGCCCAGGAACGGAACGTGCTGGCAGAGTGCCGGCTGGACCCAGCTGACCTGCAGTTGCTGCTCGACTGGGTGGGTGCACCAGCTTTTGCGGCAGGTGAGGCATGGGCCCCAGTGTGCCTGCCCCGCTTCAACCCCGACGGCTTCTTCTACGCCTACGTTGCCCGCCTGGATTCCATGCCTGTCTGCCTGCTGCTGCTTGGCACCCACCGGGAGGCCTTCCATGCCATGGCTGCCTGTCGGCGCCTGGTCGAAGATGGGATGCGCACCCTTGGTGCCCTGCGTGCCCTCGGGGAAGCTGCCAGCGCCTCTAATGCCCTGGCAGCCAGTGCCCCTGCCTACAGTGTACAGGCTGTGGGGGCACCAGGCCTCCGGCACTTCCTCTATAAGCCACTGGACATCCCTGACCACCACCGCCAGCTCCCCCAATTCACCAGGTGGGTCCTGATCCCCTGTGCAGTGGGCCAGGTGGGGAGACTTGTCTAACCAAGAGGGCCAGTGTCTTACAGACATCACTCAGGAGACGTGGCCAGCCATGCTCTAGAAGAAGGGAACAGAACAGTTTTCTGTCTGATGACAGAGACTCATCCATCTCTGGGGACCAATAGTGGGGCCTAAAGGAGTCCCCCCAGTCTAGTGGGAAAAGTGGTAATCCTTAGGGAATCCCCTAGTTTGATGGGGTAGCTTGGCCTCCAATCACTGAGAATTCTCAAGTGTAATGGGGAGGCTTAGCCCCATAAATTTAATTCACATCCCTAGACTGAGAGAAGAGTTAGGCCAATCAAGAAAGCCCTTGACTAACCTTTTGCTCCCCCTCCCTCTATCATGCCAGCCCTGAACTAGAAGCGCCATACAGCGGAGAAGAAGAGCGTCAGCGGCTGTCGGATCTGTACCACCGTCTGCATGCTCGCCTCCACAGCACCTCTCGACCCTTGCGCCTCATTTACCATGTGGCAGAAAAGGAGACGCTACTGGCCTGGGTGAGTTGGGTAGGGCTGTCAAGCCTCCTTTCCCTATAATATACCCCTCCAGTAATAGCAGTATTCATCAGGGAGACCAACCAAACCTTTGCCTGCAACACTATTGCTACCATTACACAGGCATCTTCAACCACTGTCTGCAACCCTACATTTGCCCCACCGTTCTGTTTGCTTTTCCCCCAGTGTCTTTGACTTTCAAAACACCCTTTAGCAATCATCACTGTGCATGTCAGTTCCTCGGTTTCCTCTAATGCAGCTTTGATTCCAAGTTCCCAGTACTCCTTGATCACTACAGGCTCATGATGTACCCTCTATCTGGGTTACCCATCCTGTGGATCTGTTAAAAGAGCAGTTACTGAGGGAGGACAGTCAAGGTGACCCCATCACAAATGGGACCTTCTCCTCAGGTGCTGTTATTTATTCATTGAATAACTTACTGTACATTTGTATACAGGCATTGTTCTAGGCTGAATATTTTAGTTTTAAATTCTTTTAAAACTTTCATTTTCAAATAATCTTAGACTTAAGAAGTTGGCGAATTAGTATAAAAAATTATCATAAAGATGCTCTTCACCTAGTTTCTCCAAAGGTTAATGTCTTACGAAACCACAGTAACTTCCTAAACCAGGAAGTTAACATTGCTTCAAGAACATTTAGTCTACAGACTTCATTCAGATTCCACCAATTGTCACATTCATGTCCATTTACTGCTCCAGAATCCAGTCCAGGATCACATAGTGGATTTATGTGGATTTATTTATTGTGTCTCCCTGGTCTCATTTATTCTGAACAGTTCATTAGTCTTTTTTTTTTTTTTTAATCTCATTGCCTTGGCACTTTGGAAGAAAGTGAGTAAGTTAGCATGTAAAATGCTTCTCAACTTGGATTCTTCTAATGTTATGCCATGGTATCTGAAGGAAGAGTACCTAGCAGATGGAAAAGATTGCAAATGCTGTGAGGGGGTCTGACTCTAGGATAAAGGATAAGGTGACTGGGATGGGGAGGAGGGAGAGAGCAGCAGGACATGGCATAGAAAAGTTGCTGGTGACCTGATGAGTCAGTTCCCTCAGGTTTGTGTGAGGATTGAATTGAGTTCCTCTTATATTATGTCCAGGCTATAAATAATGAAAACACGGAGTGTGGCGCTTAGAGCAGGACCTGTGTGTAATAATTACTCACTGAATATTAAGTATCGTTTTTACTATTTTCCCCAGTCCTCAGATGAGCAAATGAGGGCTCTAGAGTAAACACATACACACACAGCCAGCAGCCAGCATCACCCTGTTGAAGCCACTGGGTCCAGCTGACCACTAGGCCCAACTGAGAACCCCTGGCTCACCCTTAACACAATAATACCAGCTTGCCTGCCTAAGGTGCCTGCCTTAGTCTAGCAGCACCAGGGAGTAGTTTCTGCCAGGCACATCTTCCAAGCTGCAGGAGGCAAGCCTGTGACTGGGTCTAGGAGAGACAGGGTTGTCTATGGCTAACTGTAGCTCATCTAACTTTGTCTCCTCCCAATCTCCCAGGTGACTTCCAAATTTGAGCTCTATACCTGTCTCAGCCCTCTGGTGACCAAGGCAGGTGCTATCTTGGTAGTGACCAAACTGCTGCGCTGGGTGAGGAAAGAGGAGGACCGACTCTTTATTCGTTACCCACCCAAGTACTCCACACCCCCAGCCACCTCTACGGACCAAGCTACCCATAATGGCTTATTCACTGGACTCTGAGTGCCAGAGCTCCCAGACTGCTGGGAGCAATCACCTTTGTCTTCACCCTGGAAATATGTGTTAGGCATCTGTCTGTGGCTGGTTTCCGTCTCCCTCAGCAGTCAGGCAAGAGCTGAGGGAAGGGCTTGTCCACAAATAAGAGATGGGTGGCAGCAGCCACTGGCACAGGCTGCTTTCCCAGTCTCTTCATGCACCTCCTTCTCCCCTCCCTATGTCTCACCTCCTGGACTTGGATGATGTTCCAGCCTGCATCAGGGGCTGTCCCTCCAGATCTGCTTCAGAAGTTGGCCTCATTGGATTTTCAGCCTACAGGCCTGGTCAGGGTCTCTGGGGGTGGCCCAAAGGGGTTCTAGAATCAGGAATGCCAGCCTGTGCCTGAACCTACCTGAGGATATTTTTAAAGAAGAAAACTACATAAAAGGCCTAAAGCCAAGCCCCATAAGCATATTCCTTTGCCCTTCTTGTATTTCTGTTCATTTTTACCTTACCAAAAAATGAGCCATTATCAATGTTGGCTGCTTCTAATATTAATGAGAAGGTGGCCTTCAGTGTCCACCTGTGTAACTCAGGACATGTAGCACCTGATTTCATTGCACAGTGGCTGGCTGAGATCCAGAATTTTTACAAAGGAATTGCACCTAGCTTCCTAAGCTCATTTTATGTTCTGTGAAACTGAGATAACTCTCAGTTTAATGAAGCTTTGTACATGGAAAGGGGTTGGAACTCTCATTTACTGTGTGGCACATGCACATTTGGCCCAGACTTTGGCAACCTGCAACATCACAACTTGGAGAGACCTCCCTAGAGTTTGTGAGTGCACAACACTCACTCCCCAGTTGCCCACCACCTTGATTTGGCCCTTATTTGTCTGGAGCTGTGACCTCGTGGTTGTATGTGTGCATGCTGCCAATCACCGGTACGGGCTGGCCTGCACTCCTTGGAGCAAATGACCTGCTGTAGCTTAAGGGCGTAAATGCACATGTCACGCATGCGCACTGCCTTTTGCAGTCACATGGTGTTTTTTAGCCAATGGGCTCCAAGGCCCAAAGCGCAAGCGCAGCCCCGCACTGGAAAATGGCGGGGGAACTCCTGTCTTTGAAGGAGGAGTGGCCGGAAGCCGAGGAGGCTGAAGGTACTGAGGAACTTAGTATGAACCTCAACCCATTACAGCAGTGAAATAATGATAAAAGTAATCTTTTTTAAAAAAGTAAAACAAGCCTTTTATTACTGAAGCTTAACCTTTCCACCAAGTGGAAATAAGTAGCATGCACATTCTCGTCGGTTGGATTGACCTGGTCGGCTTTCTGGGATACGTTGCTTAAGTGTTGTAAACAAGTAGCTCAGTGTGCGTCACTCTAGGCACAGTGGGGAGGGACGTTCTCACAAGCCCACCCTGCTGCTGCCACCCTCAAGAAAGAGAGTTAACCCCTCACAGCTGGCGCCCGAGTCCCCACGGCTGTCGACAGTGACACTGGCCCCGAGGGGCCGGGACCGCGGGGAATTACAGTCCAGCCAAAAGGAAATCTCCAAGGCCTAATGCCGCCAGCGTTGTTTAATTAAGGAATTTTCAAAATGTACCAAAGTCGAGACAACAGCATGACGAATGCCCGTGCACCATCACGCTCTTCAACAGATGTTCGGTTTTCTGCCCTCTTGCCCTGCACTCCCTAAACCACTGTATTAATGCACACCTGAGAGCTCGTCTTGCCGGAACTACCTACGAGACATCAGAATAACAGTTGTTTTACTTGTCTGTCATCTCTCCCAGAATGTGAGCGCTATGAGAGCAGAGAACCGTGCTGTTCCCAGCACCCAAACCAGGGCCTGCTTAGCACATAGTGGGTGCTGGTTGGTTGGTAACGTGTGGATAGCGAAATAACTTTAACACAGTGTGTCTTAGATTAAAGCCACGTGTTGAGGGCCAGCTTTTTGAAAAGGAAAGACATAACTGCCACAACGATCAACCTTTCAAATTCCTCCTAGTTATAATTATCAGTAATGAGTAAATTGGAAAACATATCAAGTTACCATCTCTATTCCGTCAAATTGACTTTATAAAGGGAGGGGTGATGTCTAGCATAGATGATTGGGAGAACTAACTTGAAAAGGCTCTGCTGGGGGCAGTTTTGAAGAATATTTTTATTATCTAAAATGCTGTTCCACATCTGCATTGCTAGGCAGTTGGGAGAGTACACAAATGCATGGGCCAGGAATGGTCATTGGAGTGTTATTAAGGGAGGCAAACACGAGGAATCATGGGAGTGGTCTAATCTAGACGTGGGCATACTGTGGAATGCCTGGGACATGGATATTTTTTTTTAAGAGGCAGAAACCCTAATTTCTTAATGGATAAGCTCATTGTTCATTGACATAGAATGAGCGCCAAAAAGAAGTCATATTCTTAGTGAAGAGCCAGTTGGGATTAAAACATAAAAGAAAGAGGGAGGTTGTCAATGTAGCCTTTGTGTGTTACACAGAGTAGTGTTTAAAGGCTAACAGCAGACAGCTCTAAACAACAGACTCAGATGGGGGAGTAGGTGTGCAGATGTGGAGGCATTTTTGTGAGTTACTGTTTTATTCTTTTAGAAAAACTGTAGGTAGTTCTGTGTAATTTTAAAATACAAGGAAAATGTGAAGGACATCTGAGAATATTTGGATCATTATTAACATCTGGATTTGGTGGTTGTCCTGTATGTGGTATATTTCCCTGTGTAATAGTAAGTACACAGGAAAATTAAGGAGTAATGGGCCATAATGTCTGCACCTTATGGTTAGGGAGTACTCAAAGATGGGGAAGCTGACAAAAGGGCAAATGGGAGCCCTGTATCCTATTTCTACAACTTTTGTGTACACCTGTAATTATTTCAAAATAAAATGTTTAAAAGGGGACTCATACTCTACATGCTGTTTTCTTCTGAAACATGGAAACTTTAAAATTTTTTAATCAAGATGTTAGATTATTTAAAAGACTTACTTAGCATTCCCCCTTGGTCTTAACTCATGTCTAGACAAGAAAAGCTGTAGACAGGAAAAGTCCAGATGGAGCTTTTGCAGAAGTAGTTACCATGTGGGGACAATCAGAGGACATTGCATATGGTCTAAGTATTGGGTGAGAGTACATGCTGATTGTTAATCTCATTGGTTGATTATAGGACTGAGGTTATCCTAGAAAATGTCCTTAAGCAGTTGAGACTCAATGGTGTAACTGGGGAGAAAATGTCAAGAGTTGAACACAGTAAAGACAGCAGAAGCAAATATGGGTGAATAGTAACAATTCTCAGATCTGAGTCACAAGGACAATCAAGTTCATCTGTGTGCCCTTTCTTCTTTCATGTGCATTTGAAAAATTTCATAAAATGTTAAAAAGAAAATATTCACAAATACCTCTCCTTTGCTAAAGTAGTTTTGTTTCATATCCAAGTATTAAGGCAATTTTAGTATTTAAAATGTCTCAAGAGGAGACCTTCCAGTCTATTAAGGGTTATTGTATCTGGGCAGCCAGATTTAGGGCCAAGGAGAGAAGGCTAAGTTTTGCTTTTAACGTCAAAGATTTCTGTCATGTTTGGAGTTTTGTTAGAATGCTAGGTGGGTAAGAAACTAAAAAAAGCGATACATGAACTACATTTTATTAAAGATTTGAATGTCGTCACTGAGCTGCTGGTAGTGGTTATTTTGGAAAGAGAACTGACTTGGAGAAGGTGCTATTAGTGAGATGAAGGTTTTACTTTTAGTTCCATGTTCTACGTTTGTTTATTGTTTAAGTAATTTAAAAAATTAAAGTGTAAAAGTAAACTAATGCATGCTAATTTATAAAAGATTTCAGGGCCCAGTGTCGTAGCTCATGCCTGTTAATCCCAGCTACTCAGGAGATGGAGATTGGGAGGATCACTGTTCAAGGCCAGCCTGGGTAAAAAGACCCATCTCAACCAATAATCCAGGCATGGTGGTGCGTGCCTGTGATCCCAACTACAAGGGAGGTGTAGGCAGGAAAATCGAATTTGAGTCTGGCCCCAGGCAAAAATGTAAGACCCTATACAAAAAATAACTAAAACAAAAAGGGCTGGGGGTGTGGCTCAGGTGTCTGCCTACCAAGTGTAAGACACTGAGTTCAAACTCAAGTACTGCCAAAAAAACAAAAAGAGTTCAGGCCAGACAAAAGGATGTAAAATGTAAAGAAGTGATTATGCCCACAAAATTTTTTAATAAGGTCTGGTTTAAAAACCCAGTTTACAATAGAATTTTTAATGGCTGAAAAGAATTTCATTCAACAAATGTACGGTAAACTCCCCTAAGATACATTCAGGTTGCTTCCATATTTTAAAGTTACAAACAGTAAAACATCTTACCCTCCATCCTTAACTATTTCTTTAAGATGCATTCCTAGGAATGGAACTTCTGATCAACAGGAGATGAGGAAGGTTTTCATAACAAAATGAAACACTCTTTCTGCCCATCAGATTGACAAAAAATGAGAAGTGTTGGAAACATATTTGGCTGGTAAGAGATTGGGCAAAGTTCCTTTGTGGGCCCAAAAAATGGTCAAAGGCAATTTTGTAATGTCAGCCAATTTAATAGTAATGATGTAGCAAGTCGCTTCTAGGTGGTATTCTAGGTGTATCCAGTAGACATAATCCAATAGAAGCACAAAGAAGAATGTACAAAAATGGTGTGCTAAGTAAAATGGTGCCCTTCCCAAAATTTATGCCCACCAGAACCTTAAAATGTGACCTTATTTAAAAATTGGGTCTTCACAGATAGAACTACTTAAGATGAGGTCATACTAGATTAGGGCAGGCCGTAATTCATTGACTGGTGTCCTTATAAAAGACAGGCAATAGGCCAGGTGTGGTGGCTCAAGTCTGTAATCCTACCTATTTTCGAGGTAGAGACAGGGAGGATCATGGTTCAAGGCCAGCAGAGAATTTTTTAGTTCACAATACTCCATCTCAAGCAATGGCTGGATGCAGTGGCACATGCCTGTCATCCCAGCTACATAGGGAAGCACAAATGGGAGGATCCCAGTCCAGAACAGCCCAAGCATAAAGGGAGACCTATCTCAAAATATAATCAACATAAAAAGGGCTGGTGGAGTGGCTCCAATGGTAGAATGCCTGCTCATCAATTCAACATGAGTTCAAACCCCAGTACCACCAAACAATAAAATAAAAACAAAAATAGAGGAAGGCAAAAGGGATACACAGAGATACACAGAGAGAATGGCATGTGATGATGATGACACAGACACACAGGACAGACCAAGTTTATGGTTCTCTCTTATAGCAGTGGATAAAACAAATACAAGCAATCATCCTGGCATTGTTTGTAATGGCAAATGATGAGGAACAACCTAAATGTCCATCAGTAGGAGCCAGGTCTTAAATTACTGCTTGTCTGTGCAGGACAATGTCATGCAGCCAGTAAAAACAATAAAAAATTCACCAGTATACATCATCAAATGAAAAATAAAGAGGGGAAATATTGTGTATGACAGACAACCATTTACACAGAAAAAATAGGACATATGCTTGCATATGAATTAGATAACTTGGGGGAGAGTTGTGGTTCAAGTTGTAGAGTACCTACTTAGCCAGCACGAGGTCCTGAGTTCAAACCCCAGTACTGCTAAAAAAAATTAAATACTTATAACATTCAGTGACCCCTGAGGAGGAAAACTGGGACACTTCACTGTTTACTGTGAAGTATGCTGTATACTGTATACTTTTCACTGTATACATGTGTATGAGCACTTCTGTACTCACTTTATAGCTACCGTATGTGTTTATGAACTGGCTTCCTTCTCTGATCAATTTTCCTTGGAGAGGAGTGGGTCACTGGAATTTGACCTTTTATCATTATTTTCAAGCATTTAAAATGTTTTTAAAGTGCTAGTATTTTCCTGTGTTGTTGTTTGAATTTTAAAAGGAACACAGCCTCATGTTAAAGTATATAGTGAACTATATATGGTGAAAAGTGCATTCTTTTGAATCAGGATCCAAAGGTCTATTCATTGCAATTAATTGATGTATGCCTCATGTCTTTTTTTTTTTTTGTGGTACTGGGGCTTGAACTCAGGGCCTTCACCCTAAGCCACTCCACCAGCCCAGTTTTTTAGGTTTTTCAAGATAGGGCCTCTCAAACTATTTCCCCAAACTGGCTTTGAACTGCGATCCTCCTGATCTCTGCTTCCTGAGTAGCTAGGATTACAGGCATGAGCCACCAGCACCTGGCCTTCTGTCTTTTTTAATACAGGTTTTCCCTCTCCCTTGTTTTCTTCTTTGTAATTTATTTGTCGAAGAAACCAGACTTAGCTGTGCATTTCCCACAGTCTGCATGATGTTGACTGCATTTCCAATGCTGTCATTTCATATGTCTACCTGCCCTTTGTATTCTTCTGAATTAGCATTAAGATAGGGAAGCCTGACGTGATTCCATTTTGTTGTTGTTGTTGTGCTTGTTGAGGTTTTTGGAAAAGTAAAAAAAACTTTCATAAGCAGTGTTATAGTCTTCCATTAAGAGGCTCATAATATCCACTTGTCCTTTTTAAAAATGCTAACAGCCAAGAATAATCATTACCTAGATATATCGGTTCATTAGAATTTGTAAATTATTGACTATACCATCTTTAAGGAAATTTATCTGCCCTTTTTTGTTGGTTAGAGCTTCACATTGACTTTAAATAGCAACAGTAGCAAAACTATATCTCTTCTCAGCTCTGAGTTTCCAAGGGGTATTTGGGGTGTTTTGGGGTTTTTTTTTTTTTTTTTTAACCCCTCCTGGAGAACCTGACTCATCCAGCACATACCATGCACCTGAGAGGCAAAGGAGAGGGGTTTTACAAGGACCCTGCTCCAGTTGGAAAACAGATTCTTAGCCGACACTCCAACCCAAGGAGTGTCTGACACTTCCGGACTTTCCAGATGACCTGGATCTTTTCCCCTGTCCCTGTCACTCCCGTGGGGTCCTATAATTCTGGTTTTCATCTCCACAGGGCAAGACACATCTTTGAGGAAGACTGAAGACTTGCTGGAGATGGTGAAAAAGCTGCAGAAAGGTCTCATATCTTAAGTCTGAGCCTTGCACTGGGATATTGGGTCAGACAAATATGGTTCAAAACTCAGACCTCTCAACTCACAACCTTGGGAAATTATCCCATTGCACTTACTCCTTCTTACACAATTGTGTTCTTTGAACCAAAAATATAGCTCCACAGTTCAAAATTCAAGAAGCCTAGAAGGATGGAAAAACATACCCCTTCTATCTACCTACACATACACACATTTACACACACTACACCATACATTTTCTTGACCCAAAGGCCAGTGGCGGGTGTTTTTAAATCCGTAAGTATCTTCAAGAGATTTTTTTAAAAAATACATTCACACATGTATACTCTTTGTCCTCTTTTTTTTATGCACAAATGGTAAATGACAATGCCAACTGCTTTGCTTTGCTTTGCTTTGCTTGCTGAGAAGGACCTAGAAGCCACTTGCTTACAGTGCCCACCTCAGGGCTGGGCACAGTGCTGACTGACTGCTTGAAATTAGACCCCCATTCTCAACTTCAAGTGCTTCCATCCACTGGTTTGCTCTAAACAAAAGGGAACTTCCCCATCCCACTCATGGCTGCACACAGGAGTGCACTGGGACTTTGCCTGGACAGAAACTACTTAAAGCGATTGAGGGACTAAAAATGCATAGGGACCCATCCAGAGCATCTCCAGTAAAGCAAAGATAACCCCTTCCCCCCTAGGATTTTTGCCAGTCATGATATGCATCACAGAAAGCACCCACAGCAGGGGCAGTCACAGCAGGGGTAGGTGGTGATCCCAGAAAATCCAGGGCCTGAGCTTATTCACAGTAGACTGTGTTACATGTTGGCAGTGAGACCCAGCATAGGAGGGGCAATTTTATACCCCAGCTCTCTTTTACTAACCTTAGAACCAGACAGGGAAGAGGAAGAAGACTTCTCCCTACAGATCACTAAAACATGTCCCGATAGAGAAAAATTGCAAGGTGCCACCTGCCACATGAAATCAGTGTTTCCCTTATTTCAACCAGGTTGACAGAAGTGACAGCCTACTCTACCCAGCTTTGAACAGTGTGGGACATATGGGAGGTCTCCATCAGCTCCCACCACACTCAAAATTGTATCTGTGAGCCTCCACCATGACCCAAGAGGCCCTGTGTGATTTCCCTTCCCACTTGCTCCTCCTTCCCACATGCTGCTAGACTCTAGCCACATCAGCTCCTCACTGAAACTTTGGAT